AGGGGTTGATATTAGGGCAAACAGGGCTTAGTAAAATAAGTAGAAATGTATTCCAACTCTTACATTTTTGGAAAGAGTATGTGTCCCATCTGGTGAATGCTCCATGTGCATATGAAAAAAAGTGTATTTTTTTTTTTTTTTTTTTAGTTGGAGTCTCACTCTGTCACCCAGACTGGAGTGCAGTGGCCGCTCCCGGCCACTGCCGCCTCGACCTGCTGGGGCTCCGGCGATCCTTCCACCTCAGCCCTCCAAGTAGCTGGCATTACAGGCGCGTGCTACCATGCCCGGCTAATTTTTTGATTTATTGTAGAGATGAGGTCTCACCAAGTTGCCCAGGCGGGTCTCGAACCCGCGGGCTCAGGCAATCCACTCACCTCCGCCTCCCAAGGCGCGGGATTACAGGCTGAGCCACCAAGCCCGGCTTTTATTTTCTATGATTTTCTTTCTTTTTTTTTTGAGTTGGAGTCTCACTCTGTCACCCAGATTGGAGTGCAGTGGCCTCTCCTGGCCACCGCAGCCTCGACCTGCTGGGCTCCGGAGATCCTTCCGCCTCAGCCTTCCAAGTAGCCGGAATTACAGGCGCGCTACCACGCCCGGCTAATTTTTTGATTTATAGTAGAGATGAGGTCTCGCCTGCCCAGGCGGGTCTCGAACCCGCGAGCTCAGACAATTCACTCACCTCAGCCTCCCAAAGGTGAGGGATTACAGGCTGAGCCACCGAGCCCAGCTAAAAGTGTACTTTCTAATTGCTCGGTAGAATGTTCTATAAATGTCAATTGGGTAAGGTTGTTTGATATAGTTGTCTTCTATATCATTCTGACAACTTCTGCCTTTTCTGTGGCATTTTCAGATCATTTAAATTTACTGCAACTATTTATATACGTTTAAATCTACAGATATTTGTATACTTATATTAATATCAGCATTATTCACGATAACCAAAAGGTAGAAGCAATCCAAGTGTCCATTATCAGGTGAATAGATAAACAAAATGTGGTATATATATACAATGAAATATTATCCAGCCTAAAGAAGTAATGAAGCTCTGATACATGCTACAACATGGATAAACCATGAAGACATTATACTAAGTGAAATAAGCCAGATACAAAAGAACAAATATGAGTATTGTATGATTCCACTTCTCTGAGGTACCTAGAGTGGTTAAAGTCATAGTGACAAAAAGTAAAATGGTGGTTGCCAAAGATTAGGGGGAGTAGGAAATGCAGAGTGATTTTTTAATGGTGCAAAGTTTCAATTTGGAATGATAAAAAGAGTTTTGAAGACGGATAGTGGTGATGGTTGCAAATAGTGGGAATGTACTTAATGCTACCGAACTGTATACTTAAAAATTGTTAAAAGTATAATTTTTATGTTATGTATACTTTACAATACAGACACATAATAAAAATAAAAATCAATGTAATGAATATTAGCAGAAATAAGGAGAATAACAATAAAAAATCACCTCAGTAAATGAAGAAAAGACATTTGACACAATCCAATAACATTCATGATAAAAATTCTTAGCAATCTAGAAATTAAAGGAGACTTGAAATTCTGATAGAAGGCATCTATGAAAAAACTTACAGTTAATACCATACTTAATGGTGAAAAACTGAATGCTTTCCCCTAAGATTGAGAACAAGGCAAAGTTATTCAACTTTACCAGTTCTATTCAACATTGTTATGAAGTCCTCACCAGTGCAGTGAGGCAAGGGGGGAGGGAAGGCTTGCACATAAGAACACAAGAAATAGAAAGAATAGATTGTTTATGTAGACAACTCTAAAAAATTCACAATAAAGGTAAAATTAGTGAGTGGGTTTAGCAATGTCATGTACAGTATACAGTTGATATACAAAATCAATTGTATTTCTATGTATCATCAATAAATAATTTGAAACGGAAACAAAAGACAATTAGTAATAGCACCAAAAAAAAAAAAAAAAATCAAGAAACACTTAAGTATTAATTTAATCAAGTATGAGCAAGATCTGTACCTGAAAACTACAATAAATGAAGGAGACCTAAAGAAACGGAGAGAATATACTCCAATCTTCATTTGATTTTTTTTTTTTTTTTTTAGAGACAGGGTCTTGCTCTGTCACCCAAGCTGGAGCACAGTGGCACAATCATAGCTCATTGCAATCTCAAACTTCTGGGCTCAAGGAATCCTGCCTTAGCCCCCAAGTAGCTGGGACTACAGGCGAGTGCCACCATGCCCGGCTACTTTTTTTTTTTTGGTAGACGTGGGGTCTTGCTATGTTGCCAAGGCTGGTCTTGAATGCTTGCCCTCAAGCGATCCTCCTGCCTTGGCCTCCCAAAGTGCTGGGATTACAGGCATGAGCTACTGTGCCTGGCTAACATTTTGATCACTCCTTGTCCTTGACATTGGGCTTCTAGTACATGATACTTGCCCCTTTCCCCCTACTTTTCTGGCTGCTCTGTTTTGGTCTCTAACTAAATCTTGGAGTAGCTTAAGGGTCACTCTTTGAATTTCTTTTCTCTTCACACTCATTCCATTTGTAATCTCACTCAGTCTCATGGCTTTATATACCATTTATTTGCTGGCAACTGCCATATTTTATCTCCACTCCAGACATTTCCATCAAATTCTTGGCTTACATACAATTTAACATATCTACTTGGATGTCTAATAGGCATCTCAAAGTTAGCATGTTCAAATTGATTTCATTTTTTCACTCTCAACTTGCTCCTTTCACAGTCTTTCCCATCTCAGTGAACAGCAAGTCCATTTTTCCAAATGAGGCCAAAAAAAGCTTAAGAGTTATTACTGACTGCTCTCCTTTCACATTCCACATCCATTATGTCAGCAAATCCTATCGGCTCTAGGTTTACAATAGATCCAGAAGGCCAACTACTTCTTCCCACTCCCACTGTTACTCTGTTCAAACTCATAATGATCTCTTGCCTGAATTATTACAAGAGCCTCTTGTCTCCATGTTTTACTTATGTCCCGCTCAGTCTTTTTGCAATGCAGCAGCCAGAGTCGTCTCATTATACACAATTTAGGGAATATGACTACTCTTTTCAAAACCTGGGACTACAGGCGAGTGCCAATCTCACTCAGAGTAATAGCCAGAATTTCTACAATGGCCTACAAGGCCCCACAGATTGGGCACCATTACCTAATTTCATCTCCTATTACTTTCTCTCTGGCTCTGTCCCAGTCACATTGGCTACTTTGTTGCTCTTTAAATACCTGAGCATAAAAACCCCTCAGGGTTTTTGCCCCTGCTCTCCAGTAATGTTCTTCTGCTAGTTATCTAGTGGTCAGCTCCTTCTGACTTTATTCAAAAGTCATCTTCTTAGCAAAGCCTTTTCTGAACACTATTAAAATCTGCAAAACCCTCCCCAATACTCCGTATGTTCTTTCCTTGCTTTAATTTCTGTGACCACTAACCTAACCTGCTTAATTCATATTATGAGAGAATATGCAATTTGTGGGTACTTCTACTCTGCTTCTAATAATTGAAAAATGTAATATTCATCTGAACCTGAAAATACTTCAGGTTCATTTGGTGTTGACACTATTTAAATGGTTCAGTTATTTATCTGGTTTATTGTCTTTCTCCCACTCCAGAATGTAAGCTCCATAAATGCAGAAGTCTTCAGTAGATGCTTATCAAAAGGGACATTGCTTAATCCATATTGTGGGAAAATATGCAATTTGTGGGTACTTGTACTCTGCTATTAACAATTGAAAAATGTAATATTCATCTGAATCTGAAAATACTTGAGGTTCACTTGGTGCTGACACTCTATTTAAATGTTTTTTCACCTCTCCTTCCCTATATATATTGTATTTTAAAATATGTGTTTACCTACATTTTAATTTACTCTTTATGGTGTCGAGTTCTTATATTTTACATTTAATTGATGTGTTCCACTGTAAAAATAATTTTTGTTTCAGTGTTTGGTTGATACATTTGTTTTAAGTGTATGCCCCATGGGATGGTTATGCTGAATTACTAGATCAGGACAGCCATAAAAAGCATTAGAACTTCATTCTAATTCTCTGAAAGTCTCAAAGGCTGAAAAATGAGTCATTACCTATTCGTTTATTTATAACTTAATTTATTTCTATAAACATTTTTAATTCTACACTGTTATTGAAAAAATGATAAAATATGCTCATTATAAGAAGGCACAAGCATTATTTGAGAATTGCAAATGTAGCTTATAATATTGGAAATAATGTTAAAATAAGAAAGCTCAATTACCCCTCCTAGAAGTTTCCAATTTATATTCTGTATTCTTCAAAAAAAACCTCTGGTATCCCAAAAAATGCCTGGCATTTACCTATTTTTTATGCTTTTCTCCTCCTAATTCTAATATTTTCATAGATAATAGGCAGAAATAGAAAAGATACTTTTACTGAAATGATGTTTATACTCACATGATGTCAAAAAAGGCAATGTAATGCTTATAGCTATCACATATAAGACATGATGCTACGACCACCAGGAAGCAACGGGTCTGCTTCTTACCCATGTATGCAGATGTCTAATCCAGACATATTTATCTTACTTTTTTAGACCTTAATGCTCTATCTATTGAATGGGTATAGTTACAGTGTCTACCTTATAGAATTGTAGAGATGATTAAACACGATGACTAGTAAGTAATGACATAAAACCAGGCATACAGGTGAACACATAATATGTGTTATGATGTATAAGATAGGTATGCGTGTTTCAGTTAAGGTTCTTTGAATTGCACATAACAAAAACTAAAGCTAGATTTCATGTATTCAAGAAATATTTATTGAGCACCTACTAGATGCCTTAGTATGTGCTAAGCACTATGTTAGGAACTGGTAAGCCAAAAAAAAAAAAAAAGAGAGAAAGAATTTATAACATGAGTATGGGGCGCCATTTTGAACTCAGTCTTACAGCTGAACTGCATTCAGAAAGAAATTAAAATGAAAAGAGGAAAGCTGTTGGAAATCTAGGAAATATTCTGCTTCTCTACGCACTTGCTTTTGCAAACAGGCTTCAGTTTTCTTCTCAGTAAATCTGTTTTTTTCTGCAAAAAAACGTGGATGGCAAATTAAAGATGGCCACTCACAAGCTACCATGAGCATATGTTACTATTTCAGTTACACTGAGAGACCAACTCCTGCTGTTTTATCTCCCTTTGATCTTTTATCTTAATTTTAAAGTCTTAAGGTGGGGATCAAGCCATCCTTGTCTAAGCAGGAGGGTAGCTGACAGGGTCACTATTAGTTGAACAGATATTCCAAATGGTATAAATAAGTTACTTTCCCAGTTTATGTGAGTAGTAAGCACCAGATACAGCATTCAAATCCTACTGTTGTATAAGTGTTGGGTCAGTATGTGAGAGTAAGTACCTCCTTAAATTTTGCATCTTAGGAGTTTTGTTTGCCATACCCTTAGTCCCAACTCTGCTAATGCTTAATAGTTCTTTCTGCTATAAGTGTTTCCCCTTACTAAAGTTTGGCACCACAACTTTCACAGAAATGCAACATTTAAAAAAGAGTTTCAAGGATTCAGAATATAAAATGTTTTGCAAAGAGAAACAGTATGTTTAATGCTTTTGTGTATCACTAAACCATTTACTTCCCAGAAGATTCTACTAAAATCGGAAACTTACCTTCCCATTCTGTTGGAATATCCCCTGCTTCATAGTCTACTTCTTTTTTATTTGCCACTTCTATAAATCTTTTCTCTCGAATAGTTTGTCCTATAAGACAAAAGGGATTAGTATATTTTTAATGAACTGAATACAGTAGTTACTTTTAAGTAATATCTTTTAATATTATACAATCCTCAAATGGTAAAAGAATTAAAGTAACAGGAAAAAGAACAGATTCCACTTAGAATTAGGTATGTTAGAAAAGGCAATTTCTAAACTACTGCCAAAATTTTAAATTTTCTGCCACAGTATGCAAAATTTAATGGCAGAGTAAAATTAGATCCAGTGTACAGAAAAACAGAACCAATTTATCCTACAGGGTGCTAATGGCTAATAAAAATATTTTAATCATGTACTCTTTGTAACATACATGTATATACATTACAGATGTCAACGGTTGCTGCAATTGCTTAAAAAAATAGATATTCAAGTATTTAATGGACCACAAGCCAAGTATTTAATGGACCCTTTAGCCACCAGTCCTGAGTACACTGGCAAATCCAAGGAAACCAGGCCATGGTTTGGATTCTGTGGCCCATCTTAGTCAATATCTCTCATGGGAGTTTAAAGGAAGAGGGACAACAACTTGTGAGCCTCAGGTATGGCACTTCAGGTGACAGATTAATATCTGGAATGGGATGGTAGCAGTGTAGAAACATGAAAGCAGAGAGAAGAACACAGAAAAGGTGGAGAGAGGTCAAGAATGGAATGAGAACGCCTAATGCTTATATGTCTCAATAATAAAACAGTTGATTAGTGCATATTTCACGTTTATATAGAAGGCATAAAACTATGCTATTTTTTTCTTCTGTTTTCAGAAAGTCTTGATTATATCCTTCAAAGCTGCTTTGTCAAAATGGTGGCTCCAAAACATGTTTTTCTGTCGTTGGACCGCTGAGTCTGGGAAACAAGGTAAGCTTTCTACTTCCTTCTAGCTAACCAGTGTGCCTGCCTACACCAGGAAATGTGCACTGAGACTCAAGTCATCAGTGAGGAATGATAAGGGGAGCAGCATGGTTTAACAGAGATCAGACTAGTCAGGAAGACTGTGGATCTTACAAAATTCTTTCTTTTAGCACTCCTAGGCCAATCTTACATTATGCTAAATAGACTGGGTTACATAATTAAAGAAACTGACCTTGTTGCCTGCAAATCTCTATTCTATGCTACATGGAATTCTACTAACTGAAAATTCCTTCAATAGTAGACAAGGAAACTACCAGGAGTGACTGTACAGGAGAAAGGAAGTCACAAAAGGACAGCCTGTGAAGACTGAATGGCTGGTTTTACTGTCTCTGCCTTAGATATAATAAGTGTAAGGCTAGGAGCTCACAGACAAGCCATTAATGGCTAATAAGTCTCAAATATGTAGTCAGAGAAGTTCTGCATTTCATTACTAAGTCATTAGTCAGGTTGATTTACTCCTAACACAAAAGTTTCCCACGTTCTACAAATAGGATTTACCTTTTGCTTATCTTACCCGATAAATTTACAGTAAGGCAAGGGATTGGCAGTAAAAGTCCCTAAATTGTAGTGACAAGAATTAGGGTAAAAGGTGCATATAACAATGACAGCTCATTTCTCTCATAGCAGAGGCTCAATATGTATTAAAATGCTACCTATATTCACATGTATAAATACATTACAACAAATCACTATAAATTTAGTATACACTGAAGTGCTGTATAACAATTTTCAAAATGTTTGAATCAAAATACCTATGTCTTCATATAGCCCTTATTTAATACTGAGATACAAATATGTCCTTTTAGCAATAACAGTTACAGAGAGGAAATCTATTGTCTAAAATATAAAAATGTGAATACATGGGATTCTCAAAGCTTTTAAACGTACATCAATAAAGTTTAGCACATGGGGAGAGGATCAAGAGGTCCACAATTGCCAGTAGCACCACTAAGGGTATAAATATTACAGGTATATCTATATATCTACAATACAATAATTAACTTTTTATTCCTACTCTTAGATCTATGAATTTCATTTAAGATCTCCAATAATTTTATTTTATTTTATTTTTTTGAGTCGGAGTCTCATTCCGTCGCCCAGACTACAGTGCAGTGGCCGTTCCTGGCCACCGCAGCCTCGAGTTGCTGGGCTCCGGCGATCCTTCCGCCTCAGCCTTCCGAGTAGCCGGAATTACAGGCACGCGCTACCATGCCTGCCTGATTTTTTGATTTATTGTAGAGATGAGGTCTCGCCAAGTTGCCCAGATGGGTCTTGAACCCGCAGGCTCAGGCAATCCACTCACCTCAGCCTCCCAAAGGTGCGGGATTACAGGCTGAGCCACCAAGCCCGGCTTCCAATAATTTTAAAAAATCAAAAGTCAGACCTGTTTGTATGTATACGGAAAGACAGAAAGAGGAATTAATGAGCTAGTTTAATTTCTTGATAACCACTAAATCTTTGTTTAAAAAAGGTAATATCAAAGATGTATTTTTCAAGTATACATCTTTAGAAACAGAAAATAAAACTATTAGTTTGTTGAATAAATTCTTTGTAATCAAATATAACCCCCCCCCCAACAAACTGCTTTAAAGCTACTCTATTCTTTGGATTAAATCCTACTTGTACAATTTTTGTGAATTGGGAATGAGATGTAAGCCTCCTGTTGAAGAAGGAATTATGTATAAACTGTATACTTACTTATACTAATATATTTTTATGAAATATTTGCAAAGTCAACCCTTTTTATCATTGCAAGAACAATTTTCATCCCAGTGAATACAGCAAATTTAAGTACCTACTAATTCACATTTAAACATTAACTCAATAACAGAATCATTAAATCTAATATGTGTTTAGGTTTAATAAGTCCTAATACAACAATAAAAACATTAACATTGGTGAACTCAATGAGTATTATTAAGTAAAACCATGCACACTTGTTTTATTTAATACTAAACAATACTAGATTTAATTGAAACAGTCAAAACAAAAGTTTGAATTCAGGAAGATAGTAATGGTCAATGGCCTATGGATTTAAAGACTATAAAAATAACAGTATATTTTTCAAACTTAAAAAATTGTTAAAGTGATCTGCATTTGAGCTAATTATCCTAGGAGGATGGTAGATTTCCTATTCCTTTGTTTAGAAAAATATGGAACCTGTTTAGTTAAGGAAAAGAAAAAACAAAGCGAGATCCCCCAGACATAGAGTAGATGACAAAGGGTGAAAGACAGATTTCATCTATTCTACTGAGCTTCTGGGATAGAGTATAGGTACCCTGGACACAGTCATGGGAAGGATAATCTAGAGCTGAGAGTCCTAAACATCAGCCATTCAAGTGCCATCTTTGTAATTTTTGCCATGATTGATAGTATTATAATCCAAATATTTTTCTTTAACTTGACTTGTATTTTCTTCCATACTCATTTTTATCTTACCCTAAAAAGTATCAATGAAATCATTAATTTCATGTACTAGTTGTATTTTTGTTCACACATACATTAAAATAGAGATCTTGAAAATTTAAATGGTTGTCCTTGTATCACCTGAAGTCATCTTGCAGATCACACTCGGGAGACCACAACGGTCTGTAGGGACAGGGCTAGCAACACTTATGGTGATACAGGACATAGGATCCAACCCAACCAGTAAGAAATTCCTGTGGACAGGGAATGGCTGATGAATATAGACATCTTGCTTGGATTATGTTTATCCTTGATTTCACAAAATCCTGTTATGCACAATAATGTTTTGTTAGGTTTGAAGGAATAAGGGAGAAGTCCTAGAATTTCAGGGGTAGCCAGGAAAAAAGCTAACATTTATGACATGCTTACCATGTGCTGGATATTGAACTAAGTTTTAACTCTGTATGAATTGCATTAAAACTTTACAACTCTATGAGGTATTATTATTACTTTATTTTAATAAATAGGTTTATAAAGTGATTTATAATTTCATTTATAAAGAGATTGAGGCTTAAGAGATCTAAGATATTCACCTGCTAGCAAACAGGAGTTAGGATTTGAACACAGGTTTTTTTTACTCTGGACCCTAGACATTAACCACTAAGATATGCTGCCAGACTCCAAGACATCTATCTACAAATATTGTTTCTATAAACTGACTATATTTCAATTAGTAAAATACTAGGTCTAAACTGAAAGCAAAAGTAACTGTCATTTCTCAGAAGATTAAAACTAACTATTTCTATCCAAAAAAGAAAACCACTGACTTCCATTATTTTCATAATGCAGAAAACACACCTTAAATCATTCATCAATCCCAATAATCATTCAATATTAATTCTAGGCTTCTTTATTACACATAAAATAAATTAAATTAAAATAAATCTAGAAAATACAGAAAAGAATAATAAAGTAAAAAATAATCTATAACCCTAGGATGCAAGATACCATATTGACAATTTATTGTATTTTGGCCAGGTACAATGACTCATGCCTCTTTAGGGGGCCAAAGTGGGAGAATTGCTTAAGGCCAGGTGTTCGAGACATGCCTGGGCAATACAGTGAGACCTTGTCTCTATGAAAAACACAAAAATTAGCCAGGCATGGTGGTGTGTGCCTGTACTCCTAGTTATTTGCAAGGATGAGGCAGAATGATTGCCTAAGCCCAAGAGATAGAAGCTGTGGTGAGCTGTGACTGCGCCCCTGTACTCTATCCTAGGTGATCGAGTGAGACCCTGACTCATAAAATAAAAACAGCACTTTTATTGTGTTTCCTTTCAGTCTTTTATTATTATATAGATTGTAAATATACATATACACATATGTGTACACAAATTTATAAGGTTAAAGTTGTACATACACTCTTTTTCCCACATGGAAAATATCAAGTTTCTCATGTCATTATTTATAACTTAAAAAAATTTCAGAAAATGACTGATGGTACTGGGAAACTATGGGGGGGAGGGGGATGGGATTAACAGTAGCAAATATCTGTCGGGGGATGGGTAAACACTTCTTATCTACAGGGTGCTGAATGAAACGTAATTGTACACCTAACCCTTTAACTGTACCCCACAAAACCATAATAAAAAATACTGATTAATGAAAAAAAAAAA